GTCGGGCCTCCCATTTCCTGCTCTGCGTCGAGGCCGTCGACGCGACGCGCCTTCCCGTCTCCAATCCTCTGGCGGTATGAGGGGCCGATGGAACGCACGCTGATACTGCGCGAGCTGGCCGCCGTGGAAACTGAAGCCTCGAGGGTCTTGATGCGAGCGTCCTGCTGGTTGAGGAGATCTTTCATGGACTGGAGCTCGGCGCCTGGGGGTGATCTGCCCTTGGATCCCCGACATCGATGACTGGATCTCCTCCTGGGCAGTTTTTTTGTCCCATGGAGGTCTGAAGTGAGGCGCTCTGGGCTTCGAGCATCCGTTGAATCTCCTGCATCATGGTTTTCACCTCCATCGCGCTGCTGGGCACGGTGAGCGAAGAAATGACAAAACTTGAACTGGTGCTTGCCAAAGTGCCGTGGCGGCGGGCGGTCCTTCGTCGAACCTCGAAGCCGCACGCGTGGGATGTGGACGCTCGGGCCTTCCCCTCGGCTGCGTCCAAGTTTGAAACACCAGGGGCGTGTTTCAAACTTGAGCCAAAATGGCTTGAGCCAGTGGCCACGGAGGAGGAGGAGGGGGAGGAGGAGGATGAGGAGGAGGAGGACGAGGAGGAGGAGGAGGAGGAGGAGGAGGAGGGGGAGGATGGGGAGGAGGAGGATGAGGAGGAGGAGGAGGGAGGAGGAGGAGGAGGAGGAGGAGGAGGAGGAGAGGAGGAGAGGGGGGAGAAGGAACACCAGGAACGGGAACAGGAAGGGGAGGTGGGGCGGGTGGGGCGTAGGAGAGGGGGGAAGGAAGAGGCGCCCCCCCTCTCCTCCTCCCTCCTCCTCCTCCACCTCCTCCTCCTCCCCTCTCCTCCTCCTCCTCCTCTCCTCTCCTCTCCTCCTCCTCCTCCTCTCCTCCCCTTTTTCCTCCTCCTCCTCCTCCTCCTCGTCCTCCCCCTTCCCCTTCCCTCTCCCCTCCTCCTCCCCCTCCATCCGCATCCTCCCTCTCGACCCGCCTACCCCCGCCTCGCCTGGTCCGCTGCGAGGCCCGCCGCCTGGGCTGCGGTGAAGCGCACGACCGCCTCGGGGAGCCGCCGCGCCGCGCGCCGCCGCGCCGCTCGCGGGGAAGGGGGGGAGGGGGACGTGGCGCTCGCGGGGCTCCTCCTCTTCCTTGTTCCCCTCCTCTTCCTCATGTTCCTCCTCCTTCTCCTCCTCCTCCTCCTCCTCCTCCTCTTCCTCCTCCTCGTCCTCCGTCTCGCGCCCTCCTCCCCCTCCCCCCTCCTCATCCTCCCCCCTCCTGCCCCTCCCCCCTCCCCTCGCGGGTCGTCCTCCTCCCTCCTACTGCGTTCCCTCTTCTGCCTCAGCTGTGATCGTCTGCTTGGTCGTATCCTGATTCCTCTCCTTCCTAGTATCCTTGTTATTGCTATTAGTATTCGAATTCGTGTTAATGTCTTTTTACCTAACAGCGAAGACTGATAAGTTTCTAGTGGTCTCAAAAGAGAGCATCACGACTCCCCAGGGGGATCCGGGCAGGATCCGGGGAGAATCCGCGGAAGTCGTTTTAAGCAAACAGTTACACACTTCGTGGCCTTCGAGGTCCCAGAAATCCACTCCCGGGCCACATTCTGAATGCCCGGAGCCAACTGTAGGCCACTTCGTGCTCTTCGATTTCCCAGAACTCCACTCCTGGGCCACATTTTGAATGCTCGGAGCCAACTGCAGGCAACTTCGTGTTCTTCGAGTTCCCAGAACTCCATTCCTGGGCATGATTTTGAAAGCCCGGAGCCAACTGTAGGCCACTTCGTGGTCTTCGAGTTCCCAGAACTCCATTCCCTGGCATGATTTTGAATACCAGGAACAAACTGTAGGCCACCTCGTGGTCTTCGAAATCCCAGAACTATATTCCTGAGCATGATTTTGAATGCCCGGAGCCAACTGTAGGCCACTTCGTGTTCTTCGAATTCCCAGAACTCCATTCCCGGGCCACATTTTGAATGCTAAGGCAGGCTGATGCTGAGGCTGAGGCAGGCTGAGGCTGAGGCAGACTGAGGCTGAGGCCGAAGCTGAAGGCAGACTGAGGCTGTGGCTGAAGCAGGCGGAGGCTGAGGCTGAGGCAGGCTGACGCTGAGGTTGAGGCAGGCTGATGCTGAGGCAGGCTGAGGCTGAGGCTGAGGCTGAGGCTGAGGCTGAGGCAGGCTGAGGCTGATGCCGAGGCTGAAGGCAGACGGAGGCTGAGGCTGAAGCAGGCTGAGGCTGAGGCTGAGGCTGAGGCTGAGGCAGGCTGAGGCTGAGGCTGAAACAGGCTGATGCTGAGGCAGGCTGATGCTGAGGCTGAGACTGATGCAGGCTGAGGCTGAGGCAGGCTGAGGCTGAGGCCGAGGCTGAGGCAGACTGAGGCTGAGGCTGAAGCAGGCTGAGGCTGAGGCAGGCTGAGGCTGAGGCTGAGGCAGGCTGATGCTGAAGCAGGCTGAGGCTGAGGCAGAGGCTGATGCAGGCTGAGGCAGGCGGAGGCTGAGGCCGAGGCTGAAGGCAGATTGAGGCTGAGGCTGAAGCATGCTGAGGCTGAGGCAGAGACAGGCTGATGCTGAGGCTGAGGCAGGCTGATGCTGAGGCAGGCTGAGGCTGAGGCTGAGGCTGAGGCAGGCTGAGGCTGAGGCAGGCTGAGGCTGAGGCCGAGGCTGAAGGCAGACTGAGGCTGAGGCTGAAGCAGGCTGAGGCTGAGGCTGAGGCAGGTGAGGCTGAGGCTGAGGCAGGCTGATGCTGAGGCAGGCTGAGGCTGAGGCTGAGGCGATGCAGGCTGAGGCTGAGGCAGGCTGAGGCCGAGGCTGAAGGGCTGAGGCCGAGGCTGAAGGCAGACTGATGCTGAGGCTGAAGCAGGCTGAGGCTGAGGCTGAGGCAGGGCTGATGCTGAGGCAGGCTGAGGCTGATGCTGAGGCTGATGCAGGCTGAGGCTGAGGCAGGCTGAGGCTGAGGCCGAGGCAGGCTGAGGCTGAGGCTGAGGCTGAGGCTGAGGCTGAGGCTGAGGCTGAGGCAGAGGCTGAGGCTGAGGCTGAGGCTGAGGCTGAGGCTGAGGCAGGCTGATGAGGCTGAGGCTGAGGCTGAGGCTGAGGCTGGCTGAGGCTGCAGGCTGAGGCTGAGGCAGGCTGAGGCTGAGGCTGAGGCTGAGGCAGACTGAGGCTGAGGCTGAGCAGGCTGAGGCTGAGGCAGGCTGAGGCTGAGGCAGGCTGAGGCTGAGGCTAAGGCAGGCTGAGGCTGAGGCTGTGACTGCGACTGCCGTTGCCACTGCGACTGTCATCGCGAATGCGACTACGACTGCGAGAACAGCGGAATTCTACAACTGGATTCTCATCTGAATCTGCAGGGGAAATGCTTCCAGATATGCTCCTACACATCGCTGTTAGGCTGCGTTGCCGGGATAAGTGTCGTGGTACTATTCGTCTTAATATAAGTATTAATAATATTAGTTGTGTTGGTAGCATCGTTCTTTTTTATTATTCGGGTTAATACTACCATTCGCAGTCGTATTGGTGTAAGTATTGTTTTTGTTGGCATCTGTATTACCATCAGTAGTACTAGTCTTAGTCACATCATCAGTATAAACAAATCATCAGTTTTGGTACCAGTATTACCAGTATTATTACTAAGACTGATAGTATGGGTTTTGCTATCATGAATAATACTACTCTGAGTATTGCGAGTATGAGTATATCAGTTCGCGTCGCATCATCATCATCATCATCATCATCATCATCATCATCATCATCATCATCATCATAATCATCATCATCATCATCATCATCATCAGCATCATCATCAGCATCACCATCACCATCACCATCACCATCACCATCACCATCACCATCACCATCACCATCACCATCACCATCATCATCATCATCATCATCATCATTATCATCATCATCATCATCATCATCATCATCATCATCATCATCATCATCATCATCATCATCATCATCACTAATGCAATTCGCACTAATCTTACCATTGTTCCTCCTCCTCCTCCGCCCCTTTTCCATCCGCCTCCACCACCTCCCTCTTCCCCTCCGCTTTCTGTTTTCCCCACCGCCCTCGCTTCGGCTTTTCGCAGGATGTTCGGCAATGGCTCCCGATGGCGCCTGGCGTTTCGTCCGCGCGATTGGCGGGGAAGCCAGGAAAGACCGCGACGGGCAAGTGCATTGGCCAGAGTTCCTGCGTGGACGACGGTTGCTGGGTGGGCGGATGGTGGCACTCAGAGGCGTCTGCGCACGCTGAGGCCAACTTTGCACCACGGTGTCCCAGCCACCAACTCCCGCACGCTGTGCGCAGGCATCAGCCTAGGCATTGCCAAGCGGGGTCACCACTGAGGGGGTCACCACCTCCTCCAGGAGACGGACTCACTGGACTCCCCCCAGGCCCCCCGACGACGCCCTCAGGCGTCCAGAAACTTCTCGATCCTACCCCTACTGCTGGAGACTTCCGCCGACCCCCTCTTGTGGTTGGCCCCTCCCCGCAGCTGCACAACATAAGGGTACCATTTTCGGACCCTGACGGCCCCCTTCTGGGCCAAAAAGGGCCCCTGCAGGGCCCCAGGGGCCCGAAAGAGGCCCCTTTCCGGCAGCCCTCGCTGCCCCCCCACCATGTATCGCCCCCTCCATTACGCACCCCCCAACCTGCCATGGGCAGGGGCGCGCCAGGCCCTCGCTCTTCAAACGCACCGCTCCCGTCGACTCTGAGCGGAGAGAGAGCGCGGGCACGGGTGCCGCCCGGCATCCAGGCAGCAGCCCGCGGCGGGCACACAGCGGAGGCTCGACCACAAGAAACCTTTCACAAGAAACCCAACCCTGAAACCCCTGGACGGCCATCGACTCTTGGTGTGGGCACGTCGCGCTTTCCATGGCAAGGCCGTCGAAACCCGAGAAACCCAGGGCACCCTGGAGGCAAGCAGGGTGTTTCTTGGCATGGGCCCCCACTGTATGGGCCATATGCCAGCATGCAGGCGTAACGCCTGACCGTCGCCGTGCAACAGCGCTAGCCTATGCAACAGGGTACCGCTGGCCGCCCCTCGGCCATCGTGCACAGGCGTGTTGCGCGCCCCACGCGCGAGAGCCTTCTCGCAGGTGCGGCAGCGAGGAGGGACTGGCCGTCATGGGGCGCGGAGCGAGACAGGGAAGCGAATGGAACACAGCGCGACCGAGGGGCGGGGAAGTGCGCGCAGCGCGCAGGCATCGAGCCCTGCCGCCCGCCCATGGACAGGGGCATGCTGAGGGCGGGCCTTGCCGGTGTCGTCCCCGCACAAGACCTCTCCGCGCGGGGCGGGTTAGGCAGGGGGGAGGAAAGAGAGGAACATGGTGGGCTTCGGCATATTCTCGGGCGCTCGCGGCTCTCAAGGGGCTCTGCGTCGATGACGGGCAGGAGAGTCAGAGCAGGGAGGGAAGAGGAAGAAGAGGAAGATGAGACATTGGGGAAAATGCAAACGAATTTCTTGGAGTCTCCAGCCCGGCCCAGACAGTGAAACGCAAATATATTTTCGCATCCCTGCGAGTGACTTTGTTTTGCAGATGTCTCTGGGGTTCCAAACGAAAAAGGGTTCCCAGGTCCAAGCTGCCTCACTGGATGCTTCTCCCCGAAGGCATGGCTGGCAAGCGGGGGGGCGGATGCCAATGATGATACTCATGATGATGATGCTGATGATGTGGAGGAGGATGAGGATGATGATGAGGATGAGGATGATGATGCTGGTGAAGATGATGATGATGATGATGATGATGTCGCTGATGTTGCTGATGTTGTTGTTGGTGTTGCACTTGAACTCTTTTCCTGAAGAATAATTATTGCTGATTCCCCCCCACCGGTGCATACTGTTTTTCTCGATCAAAGTGTGCCCCTCGACGCTCGCACCCTGTTTTTTGACAGGGAGAGTCTTGAGGCTCAAACTGTGCCCATGGACCCCGGGATAATACAACAACGGCTCCCGCCTGAGACTTCCTCGCAAATTCGCCAAGACCCCAGCTCCCGCCCGAGACTTCCTCGCATTTTATGCAGGAGTCGCGCTCTCGCTTCGGATTTCCTTACAATTTATGCAGGAATCGCCCTCCCGGCGCTCTGGAGTCGAGCTCTCGATGGAGACTTGCTTGAAAGCTACTGAAGAATAGCGCCCTTGCGTTGGAATTTCCTACAATTTGCGCAAGTGCCGCGCTCCCGACACCCAGGCACCCAGAAGTTGCGCCCGTTGTGGCCCCATGTGCATGCCCTTCGCGGCCCCGCTGTCGCCGTTTGTGGCCCCCACTGTCCAACGTGGCCCAGTTGCTTCCCCTCAGCGGCCCCGTCGTTGCCTTCTGTGGCCCCGAATTATCTGCACTTCGTGGCCCCCGCTCGTTCGCGCTCTTCGTGGCCCCATACGCATTCCCTTCGTGTCCCCGCTGTCGCCCTTCGTGGCATACTTCGTGCCCTTCGTGGCCCTGCTGTCGTTCTCTCTCGCTCTCGCTTTCGCTCGTCGTCCCCGTCGTCGTCGTCGCCGTCGTCATCGACGTCGTCGTCGTCGTCGTCGTGGCTGGTCCCCTGTCCGTCACTCTTGGGGTCGGGTCGATGGTCCGCGGCCGCCCCGCCGATCAGCGCTGCCGCTGGCCAGGCCGACGGTCCGCGGCCGCCCCGCCGCTTGCCGGGGCCAGGCCTGCAGGGAAGAAAGGTATACCCCCCAAAGGGGTTCGATCGAAGCCGAAGAGGGCGGGTATCGAAGGTTTGGGACATACGCGTTATTGGACACTCGAGCAGATAAGGGCGACCAGTCTCAAGATGATTGTTGTTGTTGCTGTTGCTGTTGCTGGCGCTGTTGCTGCAGATGCTGTTGCTGCTGTTGTTGTGGTTGCTGTGGTTGTTATTGTTGTCGTTGTTGTTGTCGTTGTTGTTGTCGTTGTTGTTGTCGTCGTCGTTGTTGTCGGTATCGTTGATGTTGTCGTTGTCGTTGTTGCTGTTGTTGTTTGACATGTTGCGAAGCTCAGTTGTTTCGCGGTCCGTGCGTGGTCGCGAGGTGTTGAAGCTCAGTGTGAACTAGCAACGCCATTGTGACATGTAGGCTGCTGCCCGACGGCGCCCCCCCTCAGCCTGAAGTGCATGTGACAACGCCTCGAGGATAAGGAGGATTTGAAATGAGGCGCTACACAGCCCGGAGGCACACGGACGCTTCCCATGCCGCAGAACGCATGGTTTTCGACACACGGGCGCAGCGAACCAGACTTTGGGACAGAAATGCGGAAATTGTTAAAGCAAATCCAGTTTTCCATCACAGCACTTCAGGCACGGCGTTGTTGCGTGTAACCAACTTCGTCATCTGTCGGCGCGCTATCCGCTCCCCACCAAAAGCAGAGGAGGAGGAGGATGAGGAGGAGGAGGAGGAGGAGAAGGTTGAGGAGGAGGTGGAGGTGGAGGAGGAAAATGAGGCGCGCGGCATGTTTTGTTGTACATCAATCCACGCTCGTGCCCCCTGGCACGCTGAAGCGTGGTGCTGGATGGCACGTATTCAAGAAATCTTGTAAGCCCCCCTCCGCGAAGTCGCTGCATTCACCGTGCAAATCCCTTACCGAAGCTCCCTCGACTGTCCTGCGCCTCCTTGTGGCTCCCAAACGCTCTCCGCAGCTTCTAAGAATGCCCAGGAAGTGACCAATGCCGTTAAACTGACCTGACATTGCCTCGATCGGGCAATGCGTGAAAAAGGCCCCAAGGAGGCCTCCAATGCCCTGTCGAAAAAGGCCAGCATGATTCAGCACCCGATGGAAACACTTCGGTACTTAATAGATTGCGTATCCTGGCCCTCTCGGATCACGATTATTTCAAGGGGCCTCGAAGGAGCCATTGAGATATAAATGAGCCCACTAGGGCGCTGAGAAACCCTTTTCTTTCACGCGGCCCAAAGCAGCCTCGGAATGGGAAGCAACACGGCCAACAACAACACTTGTATACACGTGCGATATGCATCTCTGGATGAAAGAAACAGACACGTTCAGCATGGAACATAGGACACGCGTCCGTTTGGAAAACCGGATGTAATACGTCAGCGCGGGGATACGCACATGGAAGCACACACATACACACACACACACACTTTTTGCGTCGGCGGCTGGGCAGAGGGCGACTGCTGCAGTGGAGTGGCAACACGGGACACGCTGTATGCAAATTAAGCCCGCGATGCACGCAAGGAGGAGGAAGAGCCCCGGCGCGACAGGAGGAGACGAAGCCGATTCAATCACACACACACACACTTTAACGTGGAATGCAAGAAGACGCGCCTGTGCGCAAAGCGCAATGGTGAATCCAGGCGGGGGAACTCATGTGGAGAAACAAACCAAACCCTCGTTGCGCGAAAAACGCAGCTGATGGTCCCTGGTGCGTTTGCGTGCGCTCCTGACAGCCGCTGGGAGGGCTCCAAGACTGCCCACGAGGGGCCCAGGGCAGCCCACGAGGGACCCCAGACGGCCGAGAAGGCGCCCAACACAAGCCAAGACGGCCCAACGAAACCCACATGCGGCTCGAGAAGGCCCCAGGAGGGCGGGCCCAGGACATTCCCAGACGGCCGAGAGGGGCTCAACACGAGCCAGGACGGCCCCATGGAACCCACATGCGGCCCGAGAGGGCACCAGGAGGGCCCGGCATAAGCGCAATGCAGCCCCAGGGCGACGGAGGCAGCCCCCGTGTGATCCTCTCTGCGAAGACCAAAAGTGTCGCATGCCACGGCCTTCTATGCTGTGCTCGAAGCGTTGCCACACCACGGAGAAGTGCTGGACTGGCACGGTGGCGGGACCGGCCGCAGGTAGTTAGATGCCTGCGGCGTGCGCAATTGGCGCCTCGCACCAGGGGGTCAGGGGAGGGGGGACGGCTTATTAGACACAGAGGGGGGGTAAGGGGAAATGGGAAGGGGAGGGGGAGGGGGAGGGGGGGCAAGGGGGAGGGGGGGAGGGGTAATGGGCAAGCTAGGTGCGCTCGCGTCATATCTGACGTCCTACCCCACCCCTCCCTCCCATCCCTTACCATGCGCTGATTTCTCTATCCGCGGACGCGTGTCGTAGCGGACCTGTGGCTCCGCGCGCGCGTGCGTAGTGGTGGTGGTGCGCGTGCGTGCGTGCGTGCGTCGTGTGTGCGTGGTTGTGGTGGTGTGGTGGTGGTGGTGGTGAGGGTGCTGGTGCTGGTGTTGTGCTGTGGTGGTGCTGGTTGCTGGTTTGGTGTTGGTGGTTGGTGGTGGTGGTGGTGGTGGTGGTGGTGGTGGTGGTGGTGGTGTTTGTGTGTGTGTGTGTGCGTGTTGTGCGCGTGTGCTGTGGCATGGCACGGGAAATGACGCCAGCGCTGCAGCGGGAGCACGAGTCGAAACGGGCGGAAGCGCGGAAATGAGGCCAGCGCTGCAGCGGGAGCACGATTCGGAACGAGCGGAAGCATGGAAATGAGGCCAGCGCTGCAGCGGGAGCACGATTCGGAACGAGCGGGGCCCGAAAATGAGGCCAGCGCTGCAGCGAGAGCAGCCTTTTGAAACAAAATGCAGGCGAAAACCCAACTCCCGGGAATCCGGTGTGTAAAAAAGCAGGACGCGGGGGGGGGGGTCGGCTACTTTCAGGCCCCCTTCGGGGGAAGAGGGAGAGTAGTATTCATATTGAGTAATTGTAAAGAGGCTGCCATAGACAAGGCCCGCGCCTTCTGAGAAGCAGGGGTGCTTCTCAGAAGCCTTCCCCCTTCCCCCTGCACCCCTCTGCGCGTGGCCGAGCGCCCATCGTTCTGTGACGTAGACGCAGCTGGATCGAACCGAGCGGGCCGTGGATTCTGGAAAGGCCCCAGACCTCAGACGACACCTTCTTCAATTTTTGTTGTTTCACCCCAGGGATTTCTTTTTGCAACCCTCAGGCCCGAAACGGGACCCCTGACACCGAAAACGGAGGGACATCTCTAGTGCTATTTTGCAACTCGCCAGAAACCTGAGCACCCTCTGGTCAAAATTAGTCCTCGGAACCCTTCCAGAGCATTCAGGCCAGGATTTCGCGGCGGCTCTTGCCGTGGCTACGAAAAGCCTCCCAGAGGTCCGAAAAGGGCACCCAGAGCGGCGAAATCTGGGGTGGTGTTGTCTCGAGTCGCCACGAGGAGCACAAACCATGCCGTTGGAGGTCTGAGGGGCAGGGAGGCTCGCGGCAGTCGGCGTGCCCAGAGCTGTGCGTGCGGCGGGCTCATGCCGTGCCGTCCTCTGACACCGCGTGAGCCGTGCAACCTTTGAAAAAACTGTCTCCGCTCTCGCAGGCCCCCCCAAGGTAAGACGAAGCTAAGACG